AAGGAATTGTTGAGTTGGCTCTGAGAGATATATTTAAAGCCAAAGAAGAAAGAGACAAAGACAACACATACACTGTCTCCGTCTCCATGCTAGAGGTGTATCAGGAGACAGTCACAGACTTGCTGCAGGGGCCCCCAGGGGGGGCCCCCCATGGGGGGGGCCCCCCTGGGGGGGGCCCTGGGGGGGCCCCTGGGGGGCCCACAGGAGGGGGGGCCCCAGGTACAGGGAACCTGCATTCAGATGCGCGGCCTAAGAGAGCCATCACTCTCTGTGAGAGAGCAGACGGTGAGGCAGCGAAGTAAACCCTAAACCCTAAACCCTAAACCCTAATTGCTAAACCCTAGATTGTAGGGGCCAGTTGAGTTTCAGGTGTCTACTAAACCCTAAACCCTTTCTTTGCACAGCACTTCGGTTCTTAGATTGCTCTAGGGTTTAGGGTTTAGGGTTTAGGGTTTCGGGTTTAGGGTTTAGGGTTTAGGGTTTAGGGTTTAGGGTTTAGGGTTTGGAGTGTTTGTTAGGGACACTGGATCTGGGGTCTCTGTCTTGCTGCCCTGTCTCCTCGCTAGAAGAGGCCCTGTCTCTGCTGCAGAGGGGACAGCAGCAGCGGCATGCAGCAGCAACAGCAGCAAACGCCCGCTCCTCCCGCTCTCACGCGGTCCTCCGCATCGTTATCACCCCAGCAGCAGCAGCAGCAGCAGCAGCAGCAGCAGATGCTGCAGCAACACCCGCAGCAACAGAAACAGCAGGGATTTCTTCTGGGGAGGGGCCCCCAAAGGATACCGCTAGCTGGGGGGCCCCCACGAGGGGCCCCCGTCGCGCTTCTGTTTTGAGTCTGGTGGACTTAGCTGGCTCAGAGAGTGCAGGGGCCCCTCCTGGGGGCCCCCCAGGGGGGCCCCCTGGGGGCCCCCAAGGAAACCCTACAAGGCAACGAGAGGGGGGCAGCATAAACCGTAGTCTCCTTGCTCTCTCCAAGGTAGTCAAGGCCCTGACGCAGCAGCAGCAGCAGAAGCAACAGCAGCAGCAGCAGCAGGATGTTGTGGCAGTATGTTCTGAGGGGCCCCCTCGGGGCCCCCAGGGCCCCCGGGGCCCCCGTATCCCTGGGGGCCCCCGTCGTGCTGTACCCCCCTTTCTCGGGCTAAGAGAGTCAAAGCTAACTCGGCTGCTCAGCGACTGCTTGGGGGGCCCCTGCAGGACAGTTGTTATTTGTCTCTGTATTCCGGGTGTCTCCTTTTACAGACAAACAGCAGCAACTCTCGCCTTCGCAAGGAGCGCACGCAAGCTACCCCCTGTACCCGACGGGGGGGGCCCCCTAGGGGGCCCCCTAGGGGGCCCCCAGGGGGCCCCCAAACATAAACGACCACGCACAGCACATGCAGACACAGATACTAATACTGCTGCTGCTCCTGCTGCTGCTGCTGCTGCAGCAGCAGCAGGA